GATCTGATGTGTTTTCAAAGTGTTCCTTTAATTTTTTTGAGCAGTGCCTGCTCAAAAAAAAATTAAAAAAAGCTTGAAAAAATGCCTGGTAATAAACAATCTAAAGTATACAATACAAAAAAAAATTAAATAATTATTATTTATTTATTATTTATTTATTTTTCTTTCTCTTTTCTACAATATAACATAGTTTACACCTCATATGTATCATCAGTGATGAAATACTAGTTATTAGCACATAGACCCCTATTTGGGGACTCTAATGCACCATTACAAGTTTGCAATACTATTATGAATTTGACAATTACATAATAAATGATCATTAGTAGAGTAGGCCATTTATTCTGGCCATTGAAATGAATAAACGTGCCTAGCGTTTAAGCCCATTTAGTTAGCTTGGCGGTTTTTTATGCCCAAAAACTTCTCTCCTGAACAAGAATCTTCTTTGTTCAGTGGAGGAGCTTTGACTACCTCTATAAGCTGCTCTTAACCTCCTTGGCGGTATTCCCGAGTGTAGCTTTCAGTACCACAAGCGGTAACCCTGAGCTACACTCGGGCTTACCATACGGTGTTGCTCCGGGATCCCTTGATCACTTACCTTGTCCTGCGCTCCCGGGATGTCCCTCCTGCAGTGTCCCCTGTAATGTCCTCCGGCGGACGCCGGCGTCTGTCTTCTGGGTTCCGCCCCCTGCGACATCGGGACATACGGGGTACGGAACGGCGGGAAATTTGAAAATGACAAAAAGTGACATTCACTAAATACACTAAAATCACATAGTATAACATTACTGTATCAAACCATTTCACATACATTTTGTCCCGAGTGCTTTGTCCTGTGCCCTGCCTGCATTTTTACTGTTCTTTCTGCCTGGAAACTGAGAAACATCCATGGCGTCCAAAAAGAGTCCCTTTAGGTCAAAATCGTTTTAAGACCGGCTAGAGAACAGCGATAGTAAATTAGAACCACTTGCAGAATTGAGTGATAATGATTCATGGGGGAAACTCGTCATCAGACACTGAAAACGATTCTGCGACTGAGCTCAGTGATGTGTGAACTTGGCGCTATATTTCACATTTCAGTGTTTTTGGTTTGATTATATTATTGAATTAAATTTATTATTATTATTAGAGATGAGCGAATCGAAGTAGGCGAAGTGGAATTCGTTTCGAATATTAGGAAAATTTCGATTCGCGTCGAATCCGAAAATAAGCAGACTTCGAAATTTTTCCTAAAATGGCGGCGACATGTGCGGCGACGGAGCGGGGATGTCTGGGAAGGCGCGCAGACAAGGCGCGCTGACCCATAATGCATTCATTCATGACATGTGATCGCATTAGCCAATCAGCAGCCAGCCAGCCAGCACAGTGTAATGGTCGAGCTATATAAATGGCGGCCATTTTAGAATTCTCCATTTGCCTCCAGTCATTCAACAGAGCAGAGACCTGGCTGTATTCAGGGAGAGAGTTAGGGACAGAGAAACGTTACTTAGGGACACAGAAACGTTAGTTAGGGCCACAGAATCGTTACTTAGGGCCACAGAAACGTTACTTAGGGCCACAGAAACGTTACTTAGGGCCACAGAATCGTTACTTAGGGACACAGAATTGTTACTCAGGGACAGACAGAATTGTTACTGAGGGATACAGAATTGTTACTGAGGGCCACAGAATCGTTACTTAGGGCCACAGAAACGTTACTTAGGGCCACAGAATTGTTACTTAGGGACAGACACAGAATTGTTACTGAGGGACACAGATTTGTTACTGAGGGCCACAGAATCGTTACTTAGGGCCACAGAATTGTTACTTAGGGACAGACACAGAATTGTTACTGAGGGACACAGATTTGTTACTGAGGGCCACAGAAACGTTACTTAGGGCCACAAAAACGTTACTTAGGGCCACAGAATCGTTAGTTAGGGCCACAGAAACGTTACTTAGGGACACAGAATTGTTACTCAGGGACAGACACAGAATTGTTACTGAGGGATACAGAATTGTTACTGAGGGCCACAGAATCGTTACTTAGGGCCACAGAAACGTTACTTAGGGCCACAGAAACGTTACTTAGGGCCACAGAATTGTTACTTAGGGACAGACACAGAATTGTTATTGAGGGACACAGAATTGTTACTGAGGGCCACAGAACCGTTACTTAGGGCCACAGAAACGTTACTTAGGGCCACAGAATTGTTACTTAGGGACAGACACAGAATTGTTACTGAGGGACACAGATTTGTTACTGAGGGCCACAGAAACGTTACTTAGGGCCACAGAAATGTTACTTAGGGCCACAGAATCGTTACTTAGGGCCACAGAAACGTTACTTAGGGCCACAGAATCGTTACTTAGGGCCACAGAAACGTTACTTAGGGCCACAGAAACGTTACTTAGGGCCACAGAATTGTTACTTAGGCACAGACACAGAATTGTTATTGAGGGACACAGAATTGTTACTGAGGGCCACAGAACCGTTACTTAGGGCCACAGAAACGTTACTTAGGGCCACAGAATTGTTACTTAGGGACAGACACAGAATTGTTACTGAGGGACACAGATTTGTTACTGAGGGCCACAGAAACGTTACTTAGGGCCACAGAAACGTTACTTAGGGCCACAGAATCGTTACTTAGGGCCACAGAAACGTTACTTAGGGCCACAGAAACGTTACTTAGGGACAGACACAGAATTGTTACTGAGGGCCACAGAATTGTTACTGAGGGCCACAGAAACGTTACTTAGGGCCACAGAAACGTTACTTAGGGCCACAGAAACGTTACTTAGGGCTACAGAAACGTTACTTAGGGCCACAGAATCGTTACTTAGGGCCACAGAATCGTTACTTAGGGACACAGAAACTTTACTTAGGGCCACAGAATTGTTACTTAGGGACAGACACAGAATTGTTACTGAGGGACACAGAATTGTTACTGAGGGCCACAGAACCGTTATTTAGGGCCACAGAAACGTTACTTAGGGCCACAGAATTGTTACTCAGGGACAGACACAGAATTGTTACTGAGGGATACAGAATTGTTACTGAGGGACACAGAACCGTTACTTAGGGCCACAGAAACGTTACTTAGGGCCACAGAAACGTTACTTAGGGCCACAGAAACGTTACTTAGGGCCACAGAATCGTTACTTAGGGCCACAGAAACGTTACTTAGGGCCACAGAAACGTTACTTAGGGACACAGAATTGTTACTCAGGGACAGACACAGAATTCTTACTCAGGGACAGACACAGAATTCTTACTCAGGGACACAGAATTGTTACTGAGGGACACAGAATTGTTACTGAGGGACACAGAAATTGTTGCTCAGGGACACAGAATTGTTACTCAGGGACACAGAATTGTTACTGAGGGACACAGAATTGTTACTGAGGGACACAGAATTGTTACTGAGGGACACAGAATTGTTACTGAGGGCCACAGAACTGTTACTTAGGGCCACAGAAACGTTACTCAGGGACACAGAATTGTTAATCAGGGACAGACACAGAATTGTTACTCAGGGACAGACACAGAATTGTTACTGAGGGACACAGAATTGTTACTGAGGGACACAGAATTGTTACTGAGGGACACAGAATTGTTACTCAGGGACACAGAATTGTTACTCAGGGACACAGAATTGTTACTCAGGGACAGACACAGAATTGTTACTGAGGGACACAGAATTTGTTACTGAGGGCCACAGAACTGTTACTTAGGGCCACAGAACTGTTACTGAGGGACACAGAATTGTTACTGAAGGACACAGAATTGTTACTGAGGGACACAGAATTGTTACTCAGGGACACAGAATTGTTACTCAGGGACAGACACAGAATTGTTACTGAGGGACACAGAATTGTTACTGAGGGACACAGAATTGTTACTGAGGGACACAGAATTGTTACTGAGGGCCACAGAACTGTTACTTAGGGCCACAGAAACTGTTACTGAGGGACACAGAATTGTTACTGAGGGACACAGAATTGTTACTGAGGGACACAGAATTGTTACTCAGGGACACAGAATTGTTTACTCAGGGACACAGAATTGTTACTCAGGGACAGACACAGAATTGTTACTGAGGGACACAGAATTGTTACTGAGGGACACAGAATTGTTACTGAGGGACACAGAATTGTTACTGAGGGCCACAGAACTGTTACTTAGGGCCACAGAAACGTTACTCAGGGACACAGAATTGTTACTCAGGGACAGACACAGAATTGTTACTCAGGGACACAGAATCGTTGAATTAAAGAGTATGTCAGACAACATGCAGAGGAGTGGCAGAGGAGGCAATGTTTTTAGGAGCGAGCAGACGTGGCAGCAGAGGAAGGGGTCGAGGCAGCACTATTCGCAGCCAGAGGCCAGTGCTCCCGGTGTCATCGAGTACAGTGAGGAAGAGCTAACAGAGGGCAGTCAGGAACGGGGGGAGACATCCGCCTCTTCAGCAGCCAGGCGAAGAAGTAGTGGCGAGGAGAGTGGCTCGGTAGCCGGTCTAGAGACAGGTCTGTCTCCTGACCCACATGCAGCCGAGGGGGCTAGTAGTGAGGCGGAGACCCTAATTGATGATGATGAGGCTGATCGCACTTGGCAGCCTCGTCGTCATCAGGCTATTGCTTCCGCATCATCAGGAGAAGAGGGTGGCAGCTTGGCAGCGAGCAAAACAGTCGGTGGGTTGTCTCCATCGCCACACTCTGCCATGTGCCACTTTCAGGTCTCCTCACACACTGCTGGTGTGTTCCATTTTTTGTCATAGGGTGCTGGCAGATTACGGGCCTCCCATAGCTGCTGCCAGGCCCCTAATCTGCCATGGGCCCCTGTACCGCCTCCTCATGCTGCTGCCAGGTCCACAGTGTCTCATGCCATGTGCCACTTTCAGGTCTCCTCACACTGCTGGTGTGTTCAATTTTTTGTCATAGGGTGCTGGCAGATTACGGGCCTCCCATAGCTGCTGCTGCCAGGCCCCTAATCTGCCATGGGCCCCTATACCGCCTCCTCATGCTGCTGCGAAGTCCAGAGTGTCTCATGGGTCCCTGTACGGCCTCCCATTGCTGCTGTCTCCATCGCCACACTCTGCCATGTGCCACTTTCAGGTCTCCTCACACACTGCTGGTGTGTTCATTTTTTTGCCATAGGGTGCTGGCAGATTACGGGCCTCCCATAGCTGCTGCCAGACCCCTAATCTGCCATGGGCCCCTATACCGCCTCCTCATGCTGCTGCCAGGTACAGAGTCTCTCATGGGTCCCTGTACGGCCTCCCATTGCTGCTGTCTCCATCGCCACACTCTGCCATGTGCCACTTTCAGGTCTCCTCACACACTGCTGGTGTGTTCCATTTTTGACATAGGGTGCTGGCAGATTACGGGCCTCCCATAGCTGCTGCCAGGCCCCTAATCTGCCATGAGCCCCTATAGCCTCCTCATGCTGCTGCCTCCTCATGCTGCTGGGCCAGGTCCACAGTGTCTCCATCGCCACATGTGCCACTTTCAGGTCTCCTCACACTGCTGGTGTGTTCAATTTTTTGTCATAGGGTGCTGGCAGATTACGGGCCTCCCATAGTTGCTGCCAGGCCCCTAATCTGCCATGGGCCCCTATACCGCCTCCTCATATGCTGCTGCTGCGAAGTCCAGAGTCTCTCATGGGTCCCTGTACGGCCTCCCATTGCTGCTGTCTCCATCGCCACACTCTGCCATGTGCCACTTTCAGGTCTCCTCACACACTGCTGGGTGTTTCAATTTTTTGACATAGGGTGCTGGCAGATTACGGGCCTCCCATAGCTGCTGCCAGGCCCCTAATCTGCCATGGGCCCCTATACCGCCTCCTCCTCATGCTGCTGCCAGGTCCAGAGTCTCTCATGGGTCCCTGTACGGCCTCCCATTGCTGCTGTCTCCATCGCCACACTCTGCCATGTGCCACTTTCAGGTCTCCTCACACACTGCTGGTGTGTTCCATTTTTTGACATAGGGTGCTGGCAGATTACGGGCCTCCCATAGCTGCTGCCAGGCCCCTAATCTGCCATGGCCCCTATACCGCCTCCTCATGCTGCTGCCAGGTCCAGAGTCTCTCATGGGTCCCTGTACGGCCTCCCATTGCTGCTGTCTCCATCGCCACACTCTGCCATGTGCCACTTTCAGGTCTCCTCACACACTGCTGGTGTGTTCCAATTTTTTGACATAGGGTGCTGGCAGATTACGGGCCTCCCATAGCTGCTGCCAGGCCCCTAATCTGCCATGGGCCCCCTATACCGCCTCCTCATGCTGCTGCCAGGTCCAGAGTCTCTCATGGTCCCTGTACGGCCTCCCATTGCTGCTGTCTCCATCGCCACACACTCTGCCATGTGCCACTTTCAGGTCTCCTCACACACTGCTGGTGTGTTCCATTTTTTTGACATAGGGTGCTGGCAGATTACGGGCCTCCCATAGCTGCTGCCAGGCCCCTAATCTGCCATGGGCCCCTATAACCGCCTCCTCATGCTGCTGCCAGGTCCAGAGTCTCTCATGGGTCCCTGTACGGCCTCCCATTGCTGCTGTCTCCATCGCCACACTCTGCCATGTGCCACTTTCAGGTCTCCTCACACACTGCTGGTGTGTTTCAATTTTTTGACATAGGGTGCTGGCAGATTACGGGCCTCCCATAGCTGCTGCCAGGCCCCTAATCTGCCATGGGCCCCTATATACCGCCTCCTCATGCTGCTGCTGCCAGGTCCACAGTGTCTCATGGGTCCCTGTACGGCCTCCCATTGCTGCTGCTGTCTCCATCGCCACACTCTGCCATGTGCCACTTCAGGTCTCCTCACACACTGCTGGTGTGTTCAATTTTTTGACATAGGGTGCTGGCAGATTACGGGCCTCCCATAGCTGCTGCCAGGCCCCTAATCTGCCATGGGCCCCTATACCGCCTCCTCAATACTGCTGCCAGGTCCAGAGTGTCTCATGGGTCCCTGTACGGCCTCCCATTGCTGCTGTCTCCATCGCCACACTCTGCCATGTGCCACTTTCAGGTCTCCTCACACACTGCTGGTGTGTTCCATTTTTTGACATAGGGTGCTGGCAGATTACGGGCCTCCCATAGCTGCTGCCAGGCCCCTAATCTGCCATGGGCCCCTGTACCGCCTCCTCATGCTGCTGCCAGGTCCAGAGTGTCTCATGGGTCCCTGTACGGCCTCCCATTGCTGCTGTCTCCATCGCCACACTCTGCCATGTGCCACTTTCAGGTCTCCTCACACTGCTGGTGTGTTCCATTTTTTGTCATAGGGTGCTGGCAGATTACGGGCCTCCCATAGCTGCTGCCAGGCCCGTAATCTGCCATGGGCCCCCTTTACACCGCCTCCTCATGCTGCTGCCAGGTCCAGGCGAACGTAGTCACAAACTGAAAATCTGAACCATGTTGACCGACAACAGAAAGAACATGGTGTCTGCTCTGCGTCAAGGAAGGTTGTGCCATGCGCCATGCATGGCTCACATGTTCAATCTGGTTGTCAAGCGTTTTCCTAAAATCACACCATCCCACTGCAAGACATCCATAAAATGTCACTATAAAACCTAGCAGTTCCATTTCAGCCATTCCTACCACCGCAAAGCACACCCACCTTGAAGCTGCAGC